GACCCCTTTAAATACACCCTCTCTAAATACAACACCCTTCTAAATGCATGATATAAGCCTGGGCCCATGGTGGGACTTATAGATAAATGCACGTTCTTTATTCTGTAAGTACATACTAACTGTCTGGCCCACTTATAAAAACTCCCTCCATAAATACATTCACATAATTACCAGCCAATCAAATTCATTATTTCAAGGTTACTAAAGCCACATTATTATATACTAACAGTAACATTGCAATTTTATTAGTGTTCTCTAATTGCAGCCCTCTCTAAATATATGCTCTAGAGGTGGTCTCAGCGACGTGCATTTAGGGAGGTCTGACTATATATTTAGTTTAATTCGAATAGATTCAAATTAATTTGAAATATTTTAAATTTTTTCGCTTTGTTTTTTGTAATTTTATATAAACTTTATCAAAATATTATGAAATAAAATTTGAAATATTATGAAATAAATTTCAAAATATTATGAAATATATTTCGAAATTTAACTTACATTATTTTAGACAGTTTCGAATTATTTCAAATTAATTCAAATATTTAAAATTGGCTTATATTAGTTTGAAATATATATTTTGTAATATTTTGAAATAAATTTCGAATTATTTCGAAATAATTTGAATTATTTCGAATTAACTTACATTATATTTTGAAATTTATTTTATAATATTCTGAAATATATTTCACAATATTTTGAAATAATTCAAAATAATTCGAATTAACTTACATTATAGTTCGAAATATATTTCATAATATTTTGAAATATATTTTGTAATATTTTGTAATTTATTTCGAAATATTCTGCCTAGACTGTAATTATTGCACAATATTTCAGTTCGTAATAACTTATGTAAGTTTTCGTTTATATATTTTGCTAATATATATATTAAAAAATTAATATTTTTAAAGAGTTTTAAAAAGTTAGAAGTTAAAAGAACTTTGTTAAATGAAGAAATTCAAGAAATAAATACAAATATAACTAATAAAAATAAAAATAAAAAGAAAGACCTTCAAATATTAGGTATACAATTATTTGGATTACAATTAAATTCTGTTTATATAGCTAGAAAAAATATTAGTATCCAATATTTGTCTTAAAGTTCAGCCTTTTAACAATCTTAGTAATTCTACTCAACAATGTCATATGCTAACAATAGCTAAATATGTATTTGATCAAGTTGAAATCTGTAAAGAAAATATTTTTCATAAAGATGATAAAGTAGAAATTAAGCAAACTCGATTTACTATAAATGATAAGTCATTTGTAATTCAATATAGAAAAATTAATTAAAAATATATAGAAGAATTGTATTTAGCAGTTTTAAAATTATTAAATAAAGGCAAAATAACTTGTGAAGCTTATCGATCATTAGCACGTATTAATCAAGATTTGCCAAGAGAGGGTGCGATTTCAAGTACACGTTAGAGACTTAATAAGCAAATAAATAATCAAGTTTCCTTATCATTTATAAATATAGGAGAATCTATTACTTCTGAATTAAATATAGATTAACTACATATTACTAATCCTGATATAATTAATAATATAGTTGAATCTGAGGGGCTTTGGGACTGAACTCTTCCCGACGATCTCTTGTACCAAAATCACAACAAACTTTTTTTTCAAAAAAACAGTAAACTATGGTAGAAAAGAAGGAAAT